ATATATATATATATATATATATATATATATATATATACGCCTCGGAAACCGTACCGTTCCCTACGCCGCTAACCGACATTGTCTCCTCACCGCCCGCCATCGCTGTTCCCTTGTCGTGCCATGACACCCACCAGCAGCTCCAACACCGCATTTCCCTTGTGCATGGCGGTCGCCACCTCGCCAATCTGGGTGGCCATGTCACCTATCCTGCCAGCGACAACATTCGCTCCTTCGGTGCTCGCCTTCGCGAGCACACGAGCGGCCCTGTCCAACGCCTTATCTAGTCCTTCACAGTATGCCCGCGTCGACACATGCATTGCTTCGGCGATGCTTGAAACCGCTGATCTGCTCTCTCCTGTAACCCGACCTTTCCCACCGCTCGTGCGGCGTGTCTTCCGTGCGCTCTCCGTCTCGTCCATCCCTCCTTGTCGAGAGGTTCCTGCCCCCTGCGATGTTCCCTGCCCATCTGATGTCCCGCCCCTTGATGATGTAGGACGGGCATCTGACGCCCCGTCGGCTGTTGTCATCCCTGCTTGCGTTGTCCCTCCGCCTTGAGGTGTCCCCCCCCCTTCCGATGTACCTTTACCAGAGCTCCCTCCCTCCCCTGTCTGCAAAGCACTCGAGGCGAGCGTATTTTCACACCTTAGTGATGGCAAGTTGTTGTACCAAGCCATGGCCTCCCAAACAGGTTGTTCGAAGGCAGGGAACATCCCCTCCTTCTTTCTCTCCTCCCCTGTCATCTCCCAATACGAGGGTTTGCCCGATGCCCCACACTTGTCCCTGATGACCCTCAACTTGCTCGTTAACTCCGACCATTTCTTCCTGCAGTCCTCGGCCGATCTTCTCCACCCCCTCTCCCCCATCCTCTTCGACACCCACTCGTTTCTCTCTAAACGTTTCATACAATTGTGTCTGCCATCAGCAGCTGCCATAAGCGCGTCATCCTCCCTCATGCATTCGGCAAGGTCGACTTTCTCCTCCAAAACCCAAGGCCTCGTCTGCTTGTTCTTATCTGGCCGCGGTAATGGCGCTCGCGTCCCCTCCTCCACGCTTGGCCTGCCGATTGTCGGCTGCTCACCGTCCATGTCATCATCACCACCGTCCACGTCGGCCACGCATCGCGGAGAAAGGTTCGACGATCTGACRGTAGGTGACAYAGGAATGTCTCGCATGTCTCGATGGGTGGGAGATTYKTTCCTCGATCGTCGACGACCGGAATCYTGCACCRATGCTCCCCCGTCATTGYCGTGAGGCCTCAYGCTCGATACTCCCTCACTAGKCGGACGATGGSCACTCGCCGTTTGGCCGTACACTGCCCACCGACTGTCCATGCCATTGCTCTTCTCGCCGGTTGATGGCATGGCAGAATGCGAGTGCGTCCATGACCACTCCGCATGTGATTCCCTTGCTCCATCCGTTGATAGTGCAACTGAAAGGGAAACGGCCGAGACACGTGGTGGATGCGCGGACAACGGTTGCGGAACGAACGTCGGCGTCGCCGGGACACGTGGTGGATGCGTGGACAGCGGCTGCGGAACGAACGTCGGCGTCGCGGGGCTGGTGAAGTGCTGATGTCCACCATGAGGGGTGGACAACGACGATGCCGGTGGCGGGTATGAAGACTCGAATGGTGACCCCATCCTTTCCGGGGGGGTTGGGGCTCTTCAACCATTCCGGCAGACGACCACCAGCAAAAGGCGATGGAGGTGCGCGTGATGTCATCCGTGTGTCCTGGCTGATTTGTGACAGACCTTGGCTCAACTGTGACGAGAAGCCGCCACCGTCATCCCTTGCCCCGTGAGGCGGAGCTCTCTCGTCGTCGTATGACCTGGCGAGCTCGTGTGTCCATCGCCCCCCTTCCATGAGAAGATCACGAACAACCTCGTCTACTTGCCTTGCCGGGACACATAAATCGTCAACAGCACAAGCAAGAAGATGATGGCTAGCAGCACGAAGACAAGCAACCCGAGCGTGATAAGGACACACAAGACCGCTACCCACACAAAACAGGGATCACAACCCCGTCTCGTCCAATCCACTCCCACGACGACGATGGCGGAAGCGCTCTGTCTGGTGGAAGCCTTGGAAGCCGAGTCCTGGCCTTCAACTTCACCACGGCAGCAACAGAGCAACGCTCCCGACCTCGAACAAGGAGGTGATCGTGGAACAGTTCCGGCATCCCCTACCTGCCTTGCAGGCATTAATGGCCTCACACTGCCGGTCGTTGAACTGTTGGGAGCAATG